AGTCGGACATAGATGAATAGATTATAGTTTTGACAAGTGTATAATATAATGAGATCATTGATTATTATTATGATGTTGTGGGTGTATAACTTTTCAATATTTAATGGTTAAATTACTATTGAGACCTAAGAGTGTTAATTATCTTTTAAAATAAAATAAAACTTTCAAGTAAAATGTTCAAAATAAGCAAATGAGAAATTTAGTTGGGACAAAAACAAAAAGAGTAGCTGGTATAAATGTTAATCATGTCCTTGTCACCTAAAAATAATGGATTTTACTCACCGCCACCAAATCACCACTTCACGCTTTCACCTGCTCATATATATATACGGGGAAGGGCTAGCTTTAGCTCATCAACCTTTATTTTGGATTGTTTTCCATCTCTCATCAGATCAGATTAGACCAGACTTCCGTAGATATAAAATAACCAAAGACCAGACATTTTCCAAACTAGACAAGACCAATTCAAACTAGATCAGACTAGACCAGATCAAATCAGACCAGACCAGATCGGCAAATTTCACTTCAAAAGAAAACATCCTTAAAGCACCAAAAGATAATATTATTGTCTAAATTAAACGGGATTCAGTATTTATTGTACTTGCCTAGATGAAAAATTTCCATACTACAAGTCTACAATACTCCTTATTACTAGTAATAATACACTAAATACCTTGTCACTCAATATTATACGGGTATAATATTAACTTTGTCAAAATCGAATTAAGTGAGAAATAAGAAAAATAATGTTTTGTGATTGAAGCTTGTGCAATGGAGAGTGTTAGACCCGGGATTTACTAAAGGGTTGGGCCCAAGATCTGTTCGGTCCAAGCTATGAAGCCCAGCAACATACGAAGTCTAGCAAGCCAAGTCCAAAAGCAGTCCACCGATTTGGTCAAGATAAGAACCAATTTGAATTTTGAATATTAGTTGCAATACTTGAGGAGAAAGCCCCACAACTCTCGGATGATGGGTGCGGCCACTAACAAGGCAGTTAGGCAAGATACGGATAGGGAATAGACCATGTATATATACATCATTTCGAGGAGGACAGTTCATACGTATACAACTAAAGCAACACTCTGTATTCGAAAGCTTATTTTTAATACTATTTCATATTATTCCCAAGAGAAAGCTTAGTTTCGCCGTTGTTGATTTTCAATTGTTTGATTCCCATTCTTTTAGTTTAGTTCATTATTCTTGCATAAACAGAGAGAAAAACGAACACAAATAAAATACTACGTATTACGGAGTAATTATTATAACGAAAAAGTAACAAAGTGTTACTGAAATGAGTTATTGAAGTTTGGCTCTTTACCTTTGATGGTGGTTTATCAAACAACGGGTTACTTCAATCCTGCAGGTTGGAAAAATCGGGCATTTAATTCTTGTTAATTACGTAGTACTTCGTACTTTACATTAGACTATGAGGTGTTTAAAACTGATTCTGCTTCTGCTTCTTTTTTAACAGCAAAAGCAAAAGCAAAATCAGTTTTCAGAAGCAGGTCACCCCAGCTAGACCTGTCAATGGGTCGGGTCTAGACCCGGACCCGACCCGGACCCGGTTATTTTTAACGGGTATGGGTCTATATTTTATTCCGTTTACCCGGACCCGGATCCGGACCCGTTAATATATTTAATAAACAGGTCGGGTACAGTACATATGATTCCGACCCGTTAAGGACCCGGACGTGTTTAATTTTTTTTATTTGTATACAAACACACTAATACATAAAGTGATTAATTATAACACTTCAAGTAAACAATTACAAACTAATATATACACATGCATATATATGTGTATACACACACACACACACACACACATAATAATACATAATATATTAGTTGTAATTCTTCCATCGAAAATACACATACTAATACATACCTATTATATAAGTGATACTGATCGAGATAGTGTGATAGCATTAAATTAATACCCATTTTGGCCGTTTATTCATAATGATAAATGTGTATTGGGCTCGGTTAGCAACACACAATATTCATTATTATAATAATTATTATTATTAAAATTATTATATCATTATCATACACTTCGTACAATATATTTTTATACTCTCAATAGTCCAAGACATCTTTTATGACTTAATTTGAAATTTATTCTACGAGCTCTGATCTATGTACGAGAAAAAGTGACACAGAGTGTGGAGTTATATGCAAAAATCAATACTTTATTGGATGAAAGTAATAACATCAGAAATCTTGATTTTTTTTTTAAAAAGTGAGGATATATTTTACTTTTTAGTTTACGCACTTTTCTTTACATTGCACATAGAGGTCTTGTTATTTTCACAAAATTTATAACGGTATCATACTTGGTGGGTCTACCCGACCCGGTTCCGAGACCCGTTGGGTCCGTGTCTGGGTCCAAATTTTCAGACCCGCCGGGTAAACGGGTCGGGTCCGGATCCATTATTAACTTAGCGGGTCCGGGTCTGGAACACTACGTTCCGGCCCGGACCCGACCCATTGACAGGCCTAACCCCAGCTTCTAAAAATCTGATTCTAGGAGCAAATTAGAGCACCAAAATCACTTCTACACTTTCACCCAAACACTCCAACTTCTGCTTCTGCTCCCTGAGTGAGCAGAAGCAGTTTTAATAATTAGTTCCAAACACCCCCTATTCTAGTCGAAAAGGTTTTCTTATTTTCAATGCTCATTTGAGTTGCACGTACATGAATATTGTTGGTGCAATCTACATTATTATTGCGGCTTCGATCACTCCAAGTGGCTATCCATGAGATACAAGTATACTACATCCGATGAGAATACAATCTACAGTACTTTTCAAGTGGCTATCCACTCCAAGTCGTGTATAAAAACATTGGGTTTATGAGCAATCACACGTACTTCTACTGTGGCTTTCCCTCCATACTCTGTATTTCATTACCAATGGCCCATACAATGCCAATATGCACAGAGCCACCGCAGCCAGAGAATACAATTGACCAAACCCCCGACTCCAAAGTCATAGTGGTCACTGTGCCGTTCCTGGCGCAAGGCCATCTCAACCAACTCCTCCATCTCTCCCGCCTCATCTCATCTCACGGCTTACAAGTATACTACCTCGGTTTTAGTGTAGATATCAGCGTCGCTCGGCGGCGGCTCCAGGGCTGGGACCCTCTGGCTTATCCATCGCTCCGATTCCAAGAATTTCCAAGCCCTCCATCTTACATCTCAGGAGCCGACCCGGCCACAGAACTGACATCCTTCTCCGACATCATGACCTCCATAATCGAATCCTGCGACCACATACGTAGGCACATCGCGGAGTTTCTTGATGACATATCTAGAAAATGCGAGAGGTTAGTGGTCGTTCATGACTCACTCATGGCAACCGCGGTTCAGGACGCGGCTTCCATTCCCCATGCCGAGGCCTACAGCTTCAACGCCGTGTCGGCTTTCACCAACGCGACGGTTGTATGGGAAATCGCTTCGAAAGTACTCCGCGTCCCGCCTTTCCTTTCAAAGCTGGCCGGAAAGCTCCTCCTCCCTTCCATGGCAGTGATCCCAGACTCTCTTCCGTCCCTAGATAGCTGCTTCTATCCCGAGTTCTTGAAGTTCATGTCCGTGCAACGCTCGGCCAATTCCAAATTCTGCTCCGGGAATATTTTTGACACGTGTAGACCGGTAGAAGGCCCGTATCTTGAATTGCTCGCCAAGTTCTATAGACTCACCGGAAAAGGGAAGCTCTGGGCTATCGGTCCGTTAAATCCGGTGACAACCCGAGAAAAGAGTGAACCCAAAGTTTGTCTTCGTCACAGAAGTATTGAATGGCTGGATATGCAGCCGCCAAAGTCGGTGGTTTTCGTTTCATTCGGAACTCTGACGTCACTTTCCAGCGAGCAGATCTTGGAGCTGGCAAAGGGGTTGGAACAGAGCCAACTGAAGTTCATATGGGTCGTAAGAGACGTTCTGAAAGGAGAAACATGGTTGCCGGAAGGATATGAAGAAGGAATAGAAGGGAAGGGTCTTATTCTCCGAGATTGGGCCCCGCAGATGGAGATCTTGGACCATCCCTCGACAGGAGGGTTCTTGACCCACTGCGGGTGGAATTCATGCATGGAGAGCATAGTCAGGGGAGTGCCGATGGCGACGTGGCCGATCCATTTCGATCAGCCGAGGAATGCGGTGCTGATGACGGAAGTGCTAGGAATCGGGATAACGGTGAGGGAATGGAGTCGACGGGACGAAGTGATAACGTCCGATGTCATAGCGGATGCTCTTAAGAGACTGATGGTCCGGCCGGAAGGGGCAGAGATGAGGAGAAGGGCTGTAGAACTGGGCGAAGCTTTGAAGCAGTCTGTTAAAGATGGTGGCCTTTCTCGAGTTGAGATGGCTGATTTCATTCATCACATTACTAATCCCATGGCACCTATGGGTGCTTATGGAAGGCTCCCCTTTTCGTTTTTGAAAAACATTTGGTACTTTTGGTTTGGAAACAAACAAAAAAAGAATATTTGAAGGACTATATAATTCAACTCCTTAAATGGGTACTTAATGTTGTTACCAAAAGAGTTGCTTGAAACGAATTTTATTGTTATGATATTTCATCCCAATAATAAAAATACATCCCCTCGTTCCATTATGTTTTTATTACTTTTATTTTGAGAATTTTGCAATACAAACTGGACACTAGTTGTGAGGTTTAATTTTCCGTAGAAATTTGGGATCAACATTAAAATGGCCGGTTATTGTGGATAGCTTGCCTATAATTTTTAAACAAAGTTGACACCTTCGGACAATTTAATTTCATCTATATACGATGTAGTCTTATATTTCAAACAACAATTGGTTACCGGCTTAGTGGCGGGTGGGTTGGTTCGAATATGAAGACAAATACTCCGTATAATGTATACATGAAATGGTTATAAAATGTGTGATTGATAGTGAGTGTTTACATGAGAATAAGTTGATGAACCATTGAGAACATGCTAAAATACCAAGTAAATGTTTTAAGAGTTCATATCTCATAACTTTTTTTAAAGAAAAATGACTATATTGATATCATTAGAATCAGGATCGTTACATCAAACTTAACATTATCAGAACTGACACCAACCTTCACCTTCCAACTGGTACTTTTAACCTTACGATTAGACATAGAGATGACCTCCCCTAAAGGAGCAATACGAATCGCTAATCACCAGATGAGCTTAATGCAGCTATAGCTGAACAAATAGATTTGTCCCCCACTAGCAATATCAAGTCTAGCCGAACCCTCAATCAATGTAAAAAACCTATTACCATAAGCAAAAACAAAAAAACAAGACGATAGTACCGAATTTCTTAGTAAACAGACTAAAAATGGGGAGAACGAATTTAAGCAGGATAAACGTATTGAGCAGCTGAACCCAATCTTCCAGCGTGGTGTTCCGACCCCAAGTCACCCATTTCCAGCCTGGCGGCAGTTCAGGAGGTGGGCAGATCTTCATCCCTTGATCTTCTTCATTCAGCACCCTGATCTGTCCATAATTCGCCTCCGTCTCTTGGCCAAAATACCACACAAGCACAGACTGTCCAAATACGAATAGTCTCCAGATCCCTATCATCTCCCCTGTGTTGCAATTGAGATTCGCCCAAAAACCTCCGAGATGCGAACAGTCTACCACAGGCTTGAGATCACACAAGCCTTACTGGAATCACGATCTAGAAGGGAATTGGGACCGCGCTTCAACCCTATGAAAAGTTCTCGATCTGCGACACCAACCTCCAAGACCCAGGCCTTCCTTGATTCGATCTTCACACCAGGAGTAGCACTAGCAAAATCGGGACTCCCAAGCGTCGATGAAACGAGCGGTCAATTAATTAATTTCATCTCACAACAAGGGTGTGAAAGGATTCTTTTCCGAATATGATGGAGTATAGTATTATCAAAATTGGGAAGTTGGAACTTAATGAGAATAAATCACAAACATTAGTTCATGGTTTGAATTGGATAACATGGCCAGCTGGATATGATCATTTAGCTATAGCGTTTTAGTCATATTTCCTCTTGACTTTATTTGAAAGCTACATTTTTAGACATTAAAAAGGGCGAAACTTGTGAGGATCATCTCCAAGCAAAAGAGCTCTAAAAATGGATTCACAAATAGCAACATCATAGACAAGGCAATGTCCTCCATCAGGGACTTCATAGTATCGGACCCAAGGCAGTCTTCTCGATACATATCTCTGTAATTCCACGTTTATGAATTTGTCTTGGCAACCCTGCCATATCTGCATCCAACCTTTCTTTTCTGGAAATGGATCTTTCATCTCCAATGGATCAAAGTCCCATTTACTAAATGATGCACGGAAATCCGAGCTCAAATTATTGAACACACTTTTGTCCTTCAGCTTTTCCTACAACAAATTATATTCATACATTATGTTTCTCATTTCTCGTTACCGTGTTTTGCATGTTTCGGTGCACCAAATAAATGAAAATTAAGAATAAATAAGGTAACATTTCCTAATGTAAAATTTCCAAGCATTCTATTTTCAAGCGTACAACTAATGAAGACATAACAATTTATAAGTGGAAGATTATAGGGATATTACCCGAAATAAGACTAAAAAGGTTTCAAATTTCCAAAATAGGACTAGCATGTTTTTATTCCCAAAATAGGACTAATTACTGTCATGTTTTGGCAGTACCAAACTTCAAACATGGCATTATATTCTAAACTTGGCACTAATTGCTCCTATTTTGGGAATAAAAAACTTGACAGTCCTATTTTGGAATTTTCAAACTGTTTTAGTCCTATTTCGAGAACTTTCCCAAGATTATATCATACCCTTAAGGTACCATACATTTGTCCACATGGGTCAATCACAATATTGTGGTTGAATTATCTAAATATAAATTTAAAATAATATAATGATTTGGACCAATGAAATGAATGGTAGACACGATATTTTATTTCTTAAATGGATATGGGATTTGTCACCGAAAAATAAATATATCATATATGTTCGACGGTTTTTCTTCCAAAATAAGGGACGAGTTGCTCTAAGCCTTTTCTACCTAAAAGGCTGAAACCAGAACAAACTTATATAGGTGACACGACACTAGATTTTGTTTTTTGTAATAGACAACACTAGATTTAATCATTTAAATTAGTTAGATCAAATTAGTAACACATAATATGATAACTAAATAAATCAGATTACAAAATTGAAATAAAGTAATAAACCAATGATTGTACGTGGACTTATTTGCCCCTTTTCTTTAAAGTAAATCCAAATCAAGTAAGTGCGATACAGAGACATGGAATGGAAAAAGTGCAAGATGATTACCATAGTGGGGGAATGATGGCCATTAGGAGCATTCTTAATAAGATCTCGGTCCCGGTCACTATAATTCTTATCATTTCTAGATGGGTTTCGGGCAGCCCACCAGTGACCCAGCCACGGAGCATATTTTCCGATCAAGATCATGGCTCGGTAGATCCTCCTTCTCCCGTCTTTCTTGCTCAGAATGTCCGGCATCGATGGCCACTGATAGTTTACTGGAGGAACCACCATCGCCACTCCTAAAAGCCTATTCGGTATCCGTTTCAGGCAACCCCACGTCGGGTATGAGCCCATCGAGTTGCTAATCAAATAAAACTTTGGCCCGATCTTTATCCGATCCGCTAATTCCTCAATGTCCGATGCTTCACTGGTTTGGGTTCGGTTAGGGTTCGGGTCACTCTCTCCATATCCGGCCCGGTCATATAGAACTAAGTACACCCCCAGCTCCTTCATTAAGTCCTATGTATTTGAAATGAACAAAAGGACATTACTCAGAATAGAAGTAAACATGTTTAAAAGTACTAAGATATAATCGCTATTTTCTTCTTGAAATATGATTCATTAATGTCATGATTGAAAAATACCGACATTAATATCAATAAACATTGTCATGTTAATGCCCGTAAGGGTGAGGGGCCGGTTGTGGGTAAACTCAGATCAAACTCACTCATTGAGTATTTAACCCGAGACCTCTCATAAAAGAGATAGTTGAAAAAAAATCATAACAATTTTGAAAATTCAAAATGTGTTTACTTCTAATTCGAGAATTTTGTCATTAATAAAGTGAATCACTCAACCCGACATACTATATTTATAAAAACTCAATTAAACAATTCAAGAAGGTAACAAGAATTTGAATTTACTATTTAAAAGAAGAATTTGTATTTTATGATTAGCTGCTTTAGCACATATACCTCGGGTGCAACAAAGTTCATATCTTTGGAGCTGTCGAAGCCATGAACAACTATTACTTTGTATTTGGACTCTTCTTTTGGGACGCCTTTTTCTATGTACGAAAGAGATCTCCCATCCCTCAAAATGACCTTTTTCGATGGTGTATTGTGTCTCCGGTGGCCGCCGGCGGGATTGAGATCCGGTTCGGAGTTACAGAGAGGATCGTGAACAGACATAATAACGTGTTTTCTCTGAGCCATTGTTTTTTAACTGCTAAAACAAACTCTTGTAGCTTTTGTAGTAGTAGCCTGTACGTATTCCAACTCATACAACAACTTTCGCTAATATTTTTTGGAACCCAAAATGTTAATCAAAAATAGAAAATAAAATACAAATTATTGGGATTAAAACATATACTACGTACAAAATTCAAAAATTGGATTAAATATGTTTTATTCCCCAAATAGAACTTATACATAATACTGAGTATAATATTATTCAAAGAATAATTTGGTTAAAATTTTCCAAATAGGAGTGAGTGAGTTCTGTTCTGGAAATAAAACAAAGATAGTGTTATTTATGAATTTTTAATTTGACTAGTTACAGTCTAAAACCAGATCAAGTTTAAATACTCTGTAGATCATATCAATCAGATCAGGCATAACGAGACTTCAACAATTAATTGTAGAATGCACATAAAACGGACATCTATTAGACCAAACTAGTGCTGACTAGTGACTACATTAAAACTGACCAAATTAGACAAGACCGGATCAGATCAGAGCAAAAAACTACGGTCCAATTAAACTTTCTGAGTTACCAACGTATGCCAAAAAAATCGATCACATAACCCAGCTTAAGTTATAGAATGTTTGTTAATTGGATTGGTTTAAACCCCAAATCATATCAGACCACATGAGACCAATCCAGATAAAATCATACTTAAATAAACCAAAACAAACAAACCACAATTCAAGGGGGAAATGATGACACTCCATCCCTGAATATATTGAAAGTGTTGGATTGACGGAATGAACAGGTTGAAATTTTGGTATATTGACTCCCTCGTGTTAGAAATTGCCAAATTTGAGCTAAATGATAAGTGTGTAATAAAAAGAGTGAACTTGTGTGATTGACAGTTGTGCAGAGGAGAAATCAATAATTATAACTATAGTTTGTTTACTCTAAAGAGAAAATAGTACCCCATAAATTAATAGTTCTTTGGACAAACAGAAAATGAAAGTTACAAAGTCGAGTTAGACATAGATGAATAGATTATAGTTTTGACAAGTGTATAATATAATGAGATCATTGATTATTATTATGATGTCGTGGGTGTATAGCTTTTCAATATTTAATGGTTAAATTACTATTGAGACTTAATAGTGTTAATTATCTTTTAAAATAAAATAAAACTTTCAAGTAAAATGTTCAAAATAAGCAAATGAGAAATTTAGTTGGGACAAAAACAAAAAGAGTAGCTGGTATAAATGTTAATCATGTCCTTGTCACCTAAAAATAATGGATTTTACTCACCACCACCAAATAACCAACTGCTTCACGCTTTCACAGTTTCACCTGCTCATATATATACGGGGAAGGGCTAGCTTTAGCTCATCAACCTTTATTTTGGATTGTTTTCCATCTCTCATCAGATCAGATTAGACCAGACTTCCGTAGTTATAAAATAATCAAAGACCAGACATTTTCCAGACTAGACCAGACCAATTCAAACTAGATCAAACTAGACCAGATCAAATCAGACCAGACCAGATCGGCAAATTTCACTCCAAAATAAAACATCCTTAAGGCCCCAAAAGATAATATTATTGTCTAAATTAAACGGGATTCAGTATTTATTGTACTTGCCTAGATGAAAAATGTCCATACTACAAGTCTACAATACTCCTTATCTATCTTAATATAAAAGGAAAAGAAGTTTGATGCACAGTGTTCCCGCTGGAAAACGTCAACATCAAATTTTTATTTGCTAATGAGTAAAAAAAATACAAAATAATTATAATCTAAAAGATATCCCATCAGCCGAGAAATGTAGTATTGTGAATAAACAAATGTTATTGGTCCAAAAGGAGGTGTGCACAGCACATACATGTTCGTGTATTCGTATTGGTCCAAAAGGAGATGTGCACAACAGAGACATGTTCGCGTATTCTTATTGGTCTAAAATGGAGGTGCACACTGTTCATACAGAATCTTGAATTGATTTGGATTGCTTTGTTTCTATTGGTTGGATAGGGCGGTGAGCACAGTAAATGGATTCAGTGTATCTCAATCTCAACAAGTAGCATTTTATGGCTCAGCTATAAATTCAACACTCTCACATGAGATTTCTCACAGCCATTGGCACGATCTATCTATCTGTAATAGCAAAAGAAACAATATATTTCTTTCAATTCCTGATATTGATCAAAGTAGACCACTTGGGCAATAAAGGTCAGAACCACAAAAGTCTATCAAAGTAGACATTCAAGTAAGCAGATGCATAGAAGGGGTTGAATGCAAATGATAAAGATTTGTATTAGTCTTTTTGAGCAGTTTCTGGGTTTCAAGAGCACATCTGCAATGGGAAGTTGCCCTTGGTGACAATTCTTCATTTTAATAAATAGATGTATAAATAGATGTATAAGATTTAAGAGGCCAGTACACAAAATATGGGTTTATTTTATTTTAGAGTGTTGAATACTCAAAAGTATCACACCTGTGAAGTTTTTTTAATTAGGTCTGATCTGATCCTAGCACGGAATATACAATCTTTGTTTATTGTTTAGAATCTGTCACACTGTGTAGTTATTGCTTATTTGGGATCGAATAAATCAATTAGAAGAATTAGTGTGTAAAATCTATTAGAAATATGGCTATGGGTTGGTATTGATTAATGACATTATTGCAAAGTATGTGCAGGAGATCTACGCCAGGTTCATGTCCTTCAAAGGAAAGATATAGATACTCATATGAAAACCAAAAAGTATTTGTATGGTAATGAAACAATCCTTAAACATCTAAAGGTATTCGTATGGTAATCCATAAACAATTCGAAAACCTTTTTATGTTATCAGATTATATATACCAATATGCCAAATATCACCCCCATATGGTATACTTGCATTTTACACCATATGGTTAAAGTTGAAATTGCTTCATTTTTTCAGGATCTATAAATATGAAAATAATAGAGTTAATTTGAATTAAATTAGAAATACACCATACCTCACCCCCCCTGATAGGCTGGCATGACCAGGGCAGTTAGTTACACACTTGCAGTTCGTATATAACCAACCATAAGGCTAAAATACTTGCAATACTAAAGCTCATACAAAATGCTGGAATATCGGTGAAGTTCTTTCCTATTGTGTGATCAGGGAGAATTTTTAGATCAAATTATGGTAAAAAATAAAACAGATGTACGTATATTAGTTAGAATTAACATAACTGCCTATCAATATATATAAAACTAGGTTGGGGACTACATTTAAGTGATACATGAGGAAAAATATGTTGAAGTCTTATTATTTAAAACAATAATATAATATAATACTATGTTGAAAATTTATAATATAATATATAATACAAATAATAGATTATATTATTGGTTGGTTGTAAAATTATAATATAATATAGCCCTAGGTCGTAACAAATCCTTAAATTAAAACCAGGTGATTGTAAATAAAGTGGCAAGAATGTCAGTTGCTTATAGAACATCAGGAAATCAAATGAAAATAAATAAGTAATTCAAACCTTTTTATGTGCTCCCAATGAAAACATATATAGACTGCACTTGCTTCATGCATATCGATGCGTAAAATTCCACAGATCTCCCGGGTGATTGTAGAAAACAAAACAGTAAGGTCAAGAGCTTATAATTAAAGTGCTTCGGAATTAAACAATAATAATTGAATAATTGCATACCTTTAGCTTTCCTGCTTGGAGGTGACGATAGTCCTGAACATGGACATGCATCTTCGGAAATTATATTACCTCTATTATATGATCTTTGCACACACTTGCTGCTTTTCTATAGTGTTGTAATTGTATGTTTTGAGGTCTGTGTGTTTGGTATTATTTGCATCGATGTTGTCATTTGATATACCGGGTAGAGATTATTGCACTTTCATTGGGGACAAATGATGGGTAGACAATATCGGAGGTTGTATTCAAACAGAATGGTTTTGGATTAATGGCACATGACATGTTTGTTCGCATGTGTTAGGTGTGTGACTGTTGTATTACCATTAATGCAACGTGGCCTGCATGTTGGCAGACGTGTAAAGGTGTAAAATTTTTTAAAAGTGTGGCATCACATAAACAAAAAAAAAGTCTAAAGTGTAAAAAATTAAAAACTGGGTGGGTGTCTCAAGGTAATGAAAGTCTGGTCAGTGGCCGGGTGGTTCGAATTAATTGAGGTGTTGTGTGGGTGAGTGGTTTGAAATTTGAAATATTAAATGGGGGTGGGGCAAGTTTCTTTAATACGTTTGGTGGCACACTATTACAGCTATCAGTATTTTCTGACTTTTCTTTATTTGTCTAGATTCTTCTCCTATTTTTTTTGTTAGTATGTAAAAATGACCTAAGTAATCAATTTAAAAGTTTATTACGCAAGAGGTTTTTGGATTTTTCCAATAAATATAAATACATTAGAAAAAAGGGTTACATATAAATTGAAATTCATAAAAATATATTTTTTGAGACAATTATTAATTTTTATTAAAATTATGTTTGGAAGATTAGAAAATATTTTATGAAGCGGGTCTTTGTAAAATAAGATGGAAATTTTTATTGTACAGGAAATGACTATATTAAGATAAAAAACTTACTGGAAGACGTATTTTTTATAAAATTTAGATAGAAGAATCACATCAAATATTTATTTTTGGGAGTTTGATGATAAAAATGTTGTACGTAGTATTATTGATTTTTTCAAAAATGTCTATTAAATTTTAAGAACAGCATACACACCACCCTGTGTATTTTTATGTCTTCTATCTGTGAGTTTTGTTATTTTTCTCAAAATGTGATACTATGTATTTGGGAAAAATACTTTAATTTTTGGACAGATTTGAACACATTAATCAGGGAAACTGAATTTAAAAAAATATTTCAGTGATGTTTTCGTTGTATCGGTAAAGTCAAGTTATAGTAGTGTAACAAACCACAACATGAAATAAAAAACCTCACAGATTTGCATTAACGTTTTAGAAACACAAGAAAATGCAAAAACTTTCGAAACTCACCTTAGGATCTTACGGATATGTAAGGTTTATTTTATTATTATTATTTTAATTCGGTGGATTTAAGGCGGTTTTTGTTCCATGTTATAGAAAACAGTGAATTGTGACCGGTAGATCTACAAATTAATGACACAATGGAAAGAAAGAAAAATAAAATAAAATAGATTTAATCTCTTGCAAATCTGTATGTTTTGTGGGTTTTCCAGTGAAAGTGTTTTGAGGTGGTTTGAGGTTAAGAGAAAAGGGAGTAGAAGAAGTGGTCCGGTGTTTGTGCATGTAAGGGTTCATGTTACGGTCTGATGTGAGAAGAAGAAACTTACCGATGAAGGATTAACGTGGGACGGTGGAAGATCCTTAGTTGTTTGTTGTGGCCGGAAGTAGATTTGGACTGTCTGAAAATGGCTTCGTTGGTTTCTGGCCGGTCTGTGTCCTTCGTTAGAGGGAGAGGGAGAGGGTCTGAGTGTCGGCAAAAATATCGGGAGGGTTAGGGGGGATGAGGGAGCTGGCATCGTTTATGTGGGATGGGTCGTTCAGGTGCAGCCATGGTTTGTGGGCCGGCCCAATTAAGTCATTTGGGATGTTTACAAAGTGATGGTTTGGGCTTATTTGTTTTTGGTAGAAAAAATCAGAGGGTCTGTGTGTTTTTGGGCTGTATGGATCGGTCCTTACAAGACTCAAAATGTTGTATTCAAAGAAATGTTCAATAATGTTTAGGCTCAGGGGTGTAGTCAAAGCATTGGGGCAGACTGGGCCGGTAGAGAGATTTTTTTTAAAAAAATTGACACGGATTTTTTTACACTGAAAAATTTAGACAATTTTAAAATTTAGACAGAGCCAGGGTTGGCCCTCCCCTAGGTCCGCCCCTGTTTAGGCTTACATGAAATGCATCTTTTCATGCTCTCTTTTTAATAAAATATTTTAAGTGTCTTTCGTTTATTGATTTGATGTATATCAGTATGCCATGGAATTATATAGTGTCATCTTTTGATAGTGTAATTTGAATAACCGAGTACAACTACATTTGAAAGAAAAAATCTCATGTCGTGCATCGCACGGGTGAGTTTACTAGAAGTGTTTTCACCATAATATTAAAGATGTGTTTTGTGTATTGCGTTTTGTGTATCTTTATTGCATGACATTGCTTAGTTTCGTCAATGAATAGAGTGTCTTGAACTGTTTAGCAGAAATACAATTTAAAAAAAAAATCTCATGCCGTGCATCGCACGGGTGAGATTACTAGTTAGTAGTAATAATACACTAAATACCTTGTCACTCAATATTATACCCGTATGACATTCGTCCGGATAACTTTGTCAAAATGGTATTAAGTGAGAAATAAGAAAAATAATGTTTTGTGATTGAAGCTTGTGCAATGGAGAGAAAAACGAACCCAAATAAAATACTACGTATTAATTATTTTAACGAAAAAGTAACAAAGTGTTACTGAAATGAGTTATTGAAGTTTGGCTCTTTACCTTTGATGGTGGTTTATCAAACAACGGGTTACTTCAATCCTGCAGGTTGGAAAAATCGGGCATTTAATTCGGATTGGGATCCTCTACCGCACGCCAGAGTGCCTTGCGCGCAGAGGACCGTCGGATGGGGGAAGAGCGGCCTCGGGATCTGTGCTTCAACATCTCTGACCGTCCATTTTTTGATCGGATGGTTCCCGAGGGCCAGGCACCGTGCCTTACTTTGAAGTATGGCAGAGGTTCCGGATCCATTTAATTCTTGTTAATTACGTAGTACTTTGTACTTTACATAAGACTACGAGATCGAGTGTTTTCAATTGCTTCAACTTTAAAAAAGTGATTTTTTAAAGTGATTTTGGAAAAAGTGATTAATAATAAAAGTTGGTAGTGTTTGAGAAAAAAGTGATTCTGAAAAAGTAAAAGTTGATAGTGTTTAGTAAAATAAGTACTTTTTGTGTAATAGAAAAAGTGAAAAGCAGTTTAAAGCACCCTTCCACCTGCTTCTAGCTTTTAGCTTTTAAGTGATTAATTTAAGCAGAAACTGTCATTTGAAAACACTCTGTTTAGCTTTTTTAAAGCCAAAAGCTGAAAAGCACTTTTTTTAAGCAACCGCAAACACTGCTTACGGGGTGTTTGGAACTGATTCTGCTTCTGCTTCTTTTTTAACAGTAAATGCAAAATCAGTATCAGTTTTCAGAAGCTGGTCACCCCCAGTTTCTTAAAAAACTGATTCTAGGAGCAAATTAGAGCACCAAAATCATTTCTGCACTTTCAACCAAACACTCCGGCTTCTGCTTCTGCTCTCAGCAAAAGAGTTTTAAGAATTAGATCCAAACACCTTCTATTCTAGTCGAAATGGTTTTCTTATTTTCAATGCTCATTTGAGTTGCACGTATACATGAATATTGTTGGTGCAATCTACATTATTATTGCGGCTTCGATCACTCCAAGTATACTACACCGGATGAGAATACAATCTACAGTACTTTTCAAGTGGCTATCCACTCCAAGTCGTGTATAAAAACATTGGGTTTATGAGCAATCACGCGTACTTCTACTGTGGCTTTCCCTCCATACTCTGTATTTCATTACCAATGGCCCATACAATGCCAATATGCACAGAGCCACCGCAGCCAGAGAATACAATTGACCAAACCCCCGACTCCAAAGTCATAGTGGTCACTGTGCCGTTCCTGGCGCAAGGCCATCTCAACCAATTCCTCCATCTCTCCCGCCTCATCTCATCTCACGGCCTACAAGTATACTACCTCGGTTTTAGTGTAGATATCAGCGTCGCTCGGCGGCGGCTCCAGGGCTGGGACCCTCTGGCTTATCCATCGCTCCGATTCCAAGAATTTCCAAGCCCTCCATCTTACATCTCAGGAGCCGACCCGGCCACAGAACTGACATCCTTCTCCGACATCATGACCTCCATAATCGAATCCTGCGACCACATACGTAGGCACATCGCGGAGTTTCTTGATGACATATCTAGAAAATGCGAGAGGTTAGTGGTCGTTCATGACTCACTCATGGCAACCGCGGTTCAGGACGCGGCTTCCATTCCCCATGCCGAGGCCTACAGCTTCAACGCCGTGTCGGCTTTCACCAACGCGACGGTTGTATGGGAAATCGCTTCGAAAGTACTCCGCGTCCCGCCTTTCCTTTCAAAGCTGGCCGGAAAGCTCCTCCTCCCTTCCATGGCAGTGATCCCAGACTCTCTTCCGTCCCTAGATAGCTGCTTCTATCCCGAGTTCTTGAAGTTCATGTCCGTGCAACGCTCGGCCAATTCCAAATTCTGCTCCGGGAATATTTTTGACACGTGTAGACCGGTAGAAGGCCCGTATCTTGAATTGCTCGCCAAGTTCTATAGACTCACCGGAAAAGGGAAGCTCTGGGCTATCGGTCCGTTAAATCCGGTGACAACCCGAGAAAAGAGTGAACCCAAAGTTTGTCTTCGTCACAGAAGTATTGAATGGCTGGATATGCAGCCGCCAAAGTCGGTGGTTTTCGTTTCATTCGGAACTCTGACGTCACTTTCCAGCGAGCAGATCTTGGAGCTGGCAAAGGGGTTGGAACAGAGCCAACTGAAGTTCATATGGGTCGTAAGAGACGTTCTGAAAGGAGAAACATGGTTGCCGGAAGGATATGAAGAAGGAATAGAAGGGAAGGGTCTTATTCTCCGAGATTGGGCCCCGCAGATGGAGATCTTGGACCATCCCTCGACAGGAGGGTTCTTGACCCACTGCGGGTGGAATTCATGCATGGAGAGCATAGTCAGGGGAGTGCCGATGGCGACGTGGCCGATCCATTTCGATCAGCCGAGGAATGCGGTGCTGATGACGGAAGTGCTAGGAATCGGGATAACGGTGAGGGAATGGAGTCGACGGGACGAAGTGATAACGTCCGATGTCATAGCGGATGCTCTTAAGAGACTGATGGTCCGGCCGGAAGGGGCAGAGATGAGGAGAAGGGCTGTAGAACTGGGCGAAGCTTTGAAGCAGTCTGTTAAAGATGGTGGCCTTTCTCGAGTTGAGATGGCTGATTTCATTCATCACATTACTAATCCCATGGCACCTATGGGTGCTTATGGAAGGCTCCCCTTTTCGTTTTTGAAAAACATTTGGTACTTTTGGTTTGGAAACAAACAAAAAAAGAATATTTGAAGGACTATATAATTCAACTCCTTAAATGGGTACTTAATGTTGTTACCAAAAGAGTTGCTTGAAACGAATTTTATTGTTATGATATTTCATCCCAATAATAAAAATACATCCCCTCGTTCCATTATGTTTTTATTACTTTTATTTTGAGAATTTTGCAATACAAACTGGACACTAGTTGTGAGGTTTAATTTTCCGTAGAAATTTGGGATCAACATTAAAATGGCCGGTTATTGTGGATAGCTTGCCTATAATTTTTAAACAAAGTTGACACCTTCGGACAATTTAATTTCATCTATATACGATGTAGTCTTATATTTCAAACAACAATTGGTTACCGGCTTAGTGGCGGGTGGGTTGGTTCGAATATGAAGACAAATACTCCGTATAATGTATACATGAAATGGTTATAAAATGTGTGATTGATAGTGAGTGTTTACATGAGAATAAGTTGATGAACCATTGAGAACATGCTAAAATACCAAGTAAATGTTTTAAGAGTTCATATCTCATAACTTTTTTTAAAGGAAAATGACTATATTGATATCATTAGAATCAGGATCGTTACATCAAACTTAACATTATCAGAACTGACACCAACCTTCACCTTCCAACTGGTACTTTTAACCTTACGATTAGACATAGAGATGACCTCCCCTAAAGGAGCAATACGAATCGCTAATCACCAGATGAGCTTAATGCAGCTATAGCTGAACAAATAGATTTGTCCCCCACTAGCAATATCAAGTCTAGCCGAACCCTCAATCAATGTAAAAAACCTATTACCATAAGCAAAAACAAAAAAACAAGACGATAGTACCGAATTTCTTAGTAAACAGACTAAAAATGGGGAGAACGAATTTAAGCAGGATAAACGTATTGAGCAGCTGAACCCAATCTTCCAGCGTGGTGTTCCGACCCCAAGTCACCCATTTCCAGCCTGGCGGCAGTTCAGGAGGTGGGCGGATCTTCATCCCTTGATCTTCTTCATTCAGCACCCTGATCTGTCCATAATTCGCCTCCGTCTCTTGGCCAAAATACCACACAAGCACAGACTGTCCAAATGCGAATAGTCTCTAGATCCCTATCATCTCCCCTGTGTTGCAATTGAGATTCGCCCAAAAACCTCCGAGATGCGAACAGTCTACCACAGGCTTGAGATCACACAAGCCTTACTGGAATCACGATCTAGAAGGGAATTGGGACCGCGCTTCAACCCTATGAAAAGTTCTCGATCTGCGACACCAACCTCCAAGACCCTGGCCTTCCTTGATTCGATCTTCACACCAGGAGTAGCACTAGCAAAATCGGGACTCCCAAGCGTCGATGAAACGTCGGCGCCGCCCGTCCAACAGACCTAGACCAGGCTAGGAAACAAAATGCTGCCTACGGCGGAGGTACACCGATGGAGATCGCGAGGGTTTTCTCGTGGTTGCCTCTCTCCCTACTGTGATGGAATTACCCATATGTCAACTCATAAGCATGAGATATTAATTGAGTACTAAGCCTAGCGAAATAATGTGTGAGTTTAGTTTATAAATTTTCTTTAAAAATACTTAGAGCCTATTTGGTGAACTTATTTTTTGGCTTATCAGGCTTATTTGTCAACTTTTACACCAAACACGTTATTTTTAATTTCGCGCGTTGAATTGTGTTATAATATGGTGGAAGATAATTCAGCGACGGAGGAGAATTAATTTATGAAGCTATCATAGAATTATACAAGCCCTAAATTAATTTGTGTTTATCTAAACATGAAACATGCAACTTCCAAATTAATTTGTATACATAAAAAAAATATGTTGATTTTCTTTCAATCATTTTCTTTTTATCCGATGTAAAGGTGATTGGCAATATTCAACAGTGGACTCTTGACTCTTCCAAAAAAAAAACAGTGGACTCTTGACTCTTTTGTTATCAATAGCAATACTACGTGTAATATAGCACTAGATAGTGTCCTTCAAAGCTATGTCTTCCAGGTTGTCTCATGAAAGCCTTCTCACAAAGTGTTTACTCCGTATATGCTCTGGCACAATGATAAATTTTTCATTCAAATGAAAACTAATTAAAGGCCAAATTAGAATCACGGACGTCATATATTAGGAGGTTTTTACTTGGACTTGTTTTGGTCTTAAATCAGATCAAATCAGACCAAAATACCTCAAACCAAACTTAAACAAACTAAATAAAGCAAATCAGACTTAAACAAGCACACCAAACCAAACTTTGACAATTGTTGATAGACCAAACATCTACCAGACCAGATCCATTCAAATGAGATCATATAATATTTAAATAGAGCAGGCTATACCAGATCAGACCAGAAAATTTCATACTAGATTCACACATTCAACCCTGACGGTGTGGATTGTCCTTTTTTTTGAAAGGATTGTCCTTGTTATAACTAAACCAGTTTTATAACATTATTATTATATGCCCACCAACTCATTGAACTACTCCGCCTCCGTATGAAATTTACCCGCCACCAACAACTACGTCACCTGCTCATATATACTACTACCTCCGTCCCATAATTATCTTCATTCTTTCCTTTTTGGTCCGTCCCAAATTTATCTCCTCTTTCCTTTTTTAGCAAAGGATTTGTGGTTCACAACCATTCTTACACATTTCTCTCTCCTCTGCACAACTCTCCACCACACATTTCCCACTTTCTTAATCTCCGTGCCCAGTCAAAACCGAAGTTAATTCTGGGACGGAGGGAGTACGTGTATGGGGAAGGTTTTGTCCATCGATCTTGTACGGAAAAAGGCGCGCGACGTATATTCCGCATTAGATACAAGGACGGATTTATGTATAATACAGAGTATGTACAAAAAGTTGCATTTCGATATAATTAGAAGCACGGCTGTAGATGAGGGCGTGCAAGACGTGCTACCGCACAAGGCCTCTCGATTCAGAAGGACTAAAATTTTAAATATAGTCTACACAATATACAAAATCCTTTTTTATTTGATTAAGGATTCCTATTTTAGTATTTTGTTTTTAAATACAAACATCAAATACTAATATTTATATGTAATTAAAATGCAATTGTTAACTATAAATGTGCAACTTCTTTATTACATAAGGCCTGGATTAGGCCTAGTTATAGTAATTAGCACAAATTCCTCATACAGTTTGACCGAGCTTGGTTTTAAGGGACGAATGAAGTAGTTTTTTCAGTAATATCCTACTTTATATTTTTTAGTTCATGATTTTAATTCATTTCTCTTCGATTTTAGTTTTTTTTACCGATTTTGGTTGTTCAGGTTGGAGATATAATTATATCTCAATGTCACATTGATAATAGTCTTTTTTGGGTTGTTTTATAAAGGCCACTTTTTATATTATACTCCCTCTGTCCCAGGGAGAAGTTCCCGGGTTGACTTTCACACATATTAAGGAAATAAAGTTACTGAGGGGTAAATTTTACTGTTTGGCACTGTTTCGACACTGTTTGGCACTGTTTCCACACTGTTTGACACTGTTTTGCACTGTTTGACACTATTTTGATGTGGGATAACTTTCCATTTAGGGAAATGGGAACTTTTTGTTGGGACTGCCAAAAAAGGAAATTGGGAACTTCTCCCTGGGACGGAAGGAGTATTTATTTAATATAATGCCTATTTACGTCATTTGCATCGGGTCTCATCTACTGAGCCGGCCCTGATTAGAAGTCCTTGTAGGTATTCGAACTATGAAGAGATTATGTTTCGGTATAATAATTTCAAAGTCATGTAACAAGCTATTTGCCTCAGGAAGTCAGTCAACTCTGCCTTTGGTTTATTTTCAATCTTATTAGGCCTGGGTAGAGAGGTAGCAGTAAAAAGGAATTACTAAAGGTAGTCAACACAGTTCGGTCTAACCAAACCATCCAAACATAACAAAACTCTAAACAATTCTGTCTACCTTTGATAAATTGTAAACTTTGTGACTCTAAATCATTCACACAAAGTTTATCAATTAATATCAATCACATACACGCATTTTTTTAATAATTGTGTCACTCTTTCTGTTTTAATATTAGTGGGATGGATGTAGGGGTGGCCCGGGACCGGTCTAACCGGCCCAGTACCCAGTGGCGGAACCAGAACAGAATTTGAGGGGAGGGGGGGGGGGGGGGGGGGGGCGGAAAAAAATTTAAACAGTTGGTTGGAAAGATCTATAATATGACTTTTACGTTAATTATATTTTAAAACAATATTTTTTTGTTTATGCAAATGTATTACATAAATTTAATTATACTCATACAAAGTCAAATATTTCAAATATCACAAGAAATTTTGGCATGTTTGTACTAAACCAAGGAATAAATAGTTATGTTAAAATTCAAGTCGTTTTGAAAAAGTTCTTGATAAAATCTTTATAAAATGATATATGTCAATGTTTGAAGAGGAAAGAAATAGTTAAATGTCATTTTTTGCTATTATTGTACTAAACAGAATATTTTAATATTCGAAAAAGTAAAAAATATATATTTTGAATTGGAAAAATAAAAAATGTAATAAAAGTAAAAGAAATCTGGAGTAGTAGGGAAAATATTAAAACTAATAAAATCCCATAAAGTTAAAAGAGGAACCTTTCAAAATAAAAAAGACAAGTAGAGGAAGTGTAATACTTCGTACATAGTAATTGAAAAAGAAGCTCAGCGGGAATTGAACCAGCGTCTACCACGAAGATGTGCTACTCCAAAACCTACCATACTACTCCAACTATTAGTTTAAAAACGGGTTAGTTAATAATTATTATTAGTTACCAATTATTAATACACATACATATATATACACTACAACTTCCGGCGAACGGGGGGCGGCAGCACCAGCTCGCCCCCTAGTTTCGCCACTGCCGGTACCGGGACCGGACTGCCACTGTGCGGGACCGGTCCGACCGGACCGGTTGACCGGGACCGGGGGGGCTCGGGTTGCAGCCCACTTGGTACCGGCCCGACCGGTCCGGGCCATATTTATTTATTTTTTGGTTTTTCGAATGATTTGGGTAAGAGCCGGGTTGGGCTGGATGGTTAGGGGGTGTTTGGGGGTGGGGAGGGGAGGGGGGGGAGAATAAATAAGAAAAAAAAACAATACATTTCCCAACCCGACCCGGGACCGGCCCGGGATCGGAACATAGCCGGTCCGCTTCCGGGCCTCCATTTCCTAGACCCGGGCCCGCCCTAAGCCCGACCCAGGACCGATCCAATGGAGGTAGTATGAATTTATATTCACATTTTTTCCATAAACATTTTATTAGTTTTGCATGGAATGGCACTTTTCTTTCCTTTCACTTAGCAGGCTACGGCTAGCTCCATCCTCTCTCTTCGATGAATAAGTCAACAAATTCCAACCCGAGGGGTGCCCACTACCCAATACTGCACTTTTGTTACCTTGGGTTGCAGCTATTTTTGGGGTGAACATCTCAATATGACTTTTTAATTTCTTTTAATTAGTTTGATTTTATCTCAACTTGATCAAGTCAACTCGTTTATAATTTGTAATATCTTTTAATTAGTTTGATTTTATCTCAACTTGATCAAGTCAACTCGTTTATAATTTGTAATATCTTTTAATTAGTTTGATTTTATCTCAACTTGATCAAGTCAACTCGTTTATAATTTGATATACTGAATTACCATCCAAATCAAATCGGTCCATTTTCAAACCAAACCCAAACAAACCCGAGATACATTCATTTTTATAATTTTTACTTATTTGATATATTTTTCTGTACTAAGGATGTGTTTATTTATATTGAAACTTTTTTATTTGGTCTTGTCTGGTCTAATCGGGTCTAGTCTAGTAGATGTCTAATACTCCATATTTATGTACTCCGTAATTTACAATTATTGAGATCTAGGATGTTTTCTTTTGGACTGAAATTTGTTGGTCTGGTTTGGTCTGATCTATGTGTATTCTGAATTGGTCTTGTCTGGTAAACGTCTGATCTATGTGTATTTTATAACTACAGAAGTTTGGTTTGTTCTGATCTCGTATGGTCTGATCTGATCTGGGACTGAAAACAGTCTAAAAGAAAACATCTTTTGTCTAATTTATTCTAGGGAAAACTGTCAAATAGGCCCTCGTACTATATCAAAAAAGTCAATTAGGTCCTCCTACTTTAAAAACACTCAATTACACCCTCACACTTGTAAAAAACACTCAAATTTAAAGGGAGAAGGGGAGAAGAAAGGGAACATGCGAGAAAGAAGCAAATTAAAAGGAAAAGAAAAAATAAATGAAAACACAATTAAAAAAGGGAAATGCTTGACACGTGGGTTGTCACGTGACATTACAATTGTTGTTAACCGGGACACCGGTTTGTAAACCGTTAAAGAGCTCAATTTAGCTTTTTTTTATAAGTACGAAAGCTTAATTGAGTGTTTTCAAAGTACGAAAACTTAACTACTTTTTCGATATAGTACGGTGTAATAACAAGTACTGAGTATGTCTCAATAAACCCAAATGTTTATCCCTCCGAAGTAATGAAGTACTCCGTTTATAAGTAGAGGTCTACCGTATTGAAACTTCACCATCATTGGTAAAGCTAGGAAGTACAGCCAGGTGCGAGAAGCTTTAGCTTTTTCTTCAAATCTCCTGATTCCCTTCTATTTGCCTTATTTCGGAAGCTGCTTTACGTTCATGGAGAATAACAAAGCAACTGGTCGTCGTTTTAGTGTTTTAATGCTGCCATGGCTGGCTCATGGCCATGTCGTCCCCTACCTAGAACTTGCCAAAGAACTCCAAGGATGCAACTTTAACATCCATTTCTGCTCCACCCCAGTAATTCTCTCTTTCGTTGAATCCGCATACTCTTCAATCCTTTCTCAAATCCACCTCGTCCCCATCTCTATCCCCACCGCCGGCTTCCCGGAGCTTCCTCCCGGCCGCCACTCCACCAAAGATCTCCCCCGGGAGCACATTTTCACCCTCGCCAAGGCATTCAGGCTCTCCGCCCCGATCTTCTCCGACATCTTCGACCAAATCAAACCCGACTTGCTGATCTACGATGTCTTCGATTCGTGGGCGGCGGGGGTCGCGGCGTCCCGGGGCATCCCCGCCGTCTGTTTCTGCATCACCGGCGCCGCCTCTGTTTCCTTCGCCGACCACCTGTTTGAGCACCACTCGACGGCCGGGTATCCTTTTCCGGGACTTTATTTGCGTCCCCACGAGCTCAAGAATCTGAGGGAAAACATAGGAACCATCGATGAAGCAGACAAGCTCGAACTCATAAAGCCCTTGGTGGCTTCCGACCGCCTCGTTTTGATGAATACCAGCAAAGAAATCGATGGGAAGTATATAGATTACCTCTCCTCCGTTCTGGGTAAAACCGTCGTGCCGACGGGCCCACTCATCCGCATTCCGGGGAAAAACGGCGCGGCGGCGGAAGGTGAGAAACAGGGGGACGCGGAGATCCTGCGGTGGTTGGACGGAAAGCCAAAAAATTCAACTTTATACATTTCATTCGGGAGCGAGTACTACTTAAGCACGGAGGAGATTCAAGAATTGGCGAAGGGATTGGAGCTTAGCGACGCAAATTTCATATGGGTTCTCAGGTTTCCGGCGGGGAAAGAGATCGGAGTTGAGGAGGCTCTGCCGGCGGGTTTCCTGAACAGAGTAAACGGTCGGGGGGTAATTGTGGAAAAGTGGGCCCCACAGATCAAGATTCTTGGCCATCCCAGTGTGGGCGGATTCGTGATGCAGTGTGGGGGTAAATTATACCGTACAGCCGGCTGTACGGTGAGCACCGTACGGCCGGACATTTTTGTAATCAAATCGTATCACAGCAACTCACTGGCGAAGGACGGCAGTTAATAATTCGCTGAAATCTCGTTTCTTCCAATTTGAAGTTCGATTGCTCCCTTTCCCTTCACGTGCCGGAAGTAGCTGAACAAATGAAGGGAAATTAAAGGCAGCCGCCGATAATCCAATATAGTGGTGTCCAACTTTCTCAGCCATCTCACGAAAAAACCTCAAGCAATTACATCACAATCATGAAGCTAACCATCAAAATTTCTACTTAGCTTCTACAGACTTATCTCCAAATAATTGAAGCTCTATCTAATTTAATTCAAAATAAGAGCTAGACTCATTGAGTTTAGCGTTTTTGTTGCAGGAGTCATTGGGGACGACACTTATTGATCATCAGTTGTTTATGAATATAGAACATATTACAAATGAGTTTTATTTTAAACTCAAATGAGTATAACGCCTAAACTGAATGAATATATACAAATGAGTTTTTGGTTTTCCCGATACTCATTTTGTAAGTTGTATATGCTCATTTGGTACAGATGTTCTGCTCATTATATTTTAACATAAGACTTGATTATATATGCAGGAGCTCAGATAATGATGCTCAACCACATGATTCTAATACTCAATAGAGGAGATTTGATACTCAATTTAAATGTATTTATGGTCAACTAAAAAAACTTACGAGTTTCATATCAATAATCATTTTATATATTACATATGCTCAATTGGAACTGATGTTATGCTCATTTTTAAAATGTCATATCAATGCATATTTCAAAAGTGCCATATTACATTAGTTTTGCATATTGAAGTTCATAGGAGTTGATTATAAATATAATTTAATAAGTATTTATAAAAGAAAAAATAAGAAAAAGAAAGTGAATTACAATAGGGGAAATGGAAACTAATAATCCAACCTTTAAGCGGTCTTCTTTCAATAATCCCACCTTTTGATTATTCATGAATAATCCAACCTTTGCCCCTCATCTTCATTCATTGGTCCCTGGTCGGTTAATGACCTACTATTCTAAGTTATTTTCTTATCTTTGCAAAATATTATCTTTGTGAAAGATGAGATTTATGGTATAATGATTTGCAAAGATAAGAAAATAGCTTGGAATAGCAGGTCATCAACCGGTCAGGGACCAGTGAATGAAGATGAGGTGCAAAGGTTGGATTATTCATGAATAACCAAAAGGTTGGATTATTGTAAGAAGACCGCTAAAAGGTTGGATTATTAGTTTCCATTTTTCCATTACAATATATGAAATTGATATCGCAATACTCATTATTCGACTCGTAATGCTCAATAGAATACGTTTGATGCTCATTAAACGTGTATCAATGCTCATCTAAAGATAATGACAATTTTCACTGATATTACGAAAATGACACCGTTTTTTAGTTGTGATATCATCTTTCTTGTACTAACACGGTGCTCATTAAAATTGGACTATTGCTCATTAACAGTACACTAATACTCATTTAACACAAACCGCAATTTTCACATTAATTACAAAAATACCACCGAATTATTTTGCCATTTTTTCCTTGGGCCTGTTACTTTCCTTGTTGGGCCGGCTGTACGGTGCTCACCCTACAGCCGGTTGTACGATATAGGCACTCCAGTGTGGGTGGAACTCGTTTTTGGAGAGCGTCCACTTCGGAATCCCGTTGATAGCCATACCCATGCACTCCGAGCAGTTCATCACCGCCAGGTTCGCGGCGGAGCTTGGCATTGCGACGGAAGTGATGAGGGATGAAGATGGCCGGCTTCACAGGGAAGATATCGCCGAAGCCGTGAAGAAACTCATGGCGGAGAAGGCCGGGGAAGAGATGAGAGAGAAGGTGAGGGCGTTGAAGGCGGCGATGGCGTCGAAAGGAACGCAAGAGATTGATAACGCGGCGGCGTTGCTCTCCCAGCTTTGCTGCACTTAGAACGTTAATTAATAACCTGATGTGTCGTTATGCCAATTGACTATCAAATTCCGTCACCTTATGACCAATAATAAAGTGCTTATTTATTTCAATTGAAATTGAGGTGTTTTTAAAAAAGGAATTGAAATTGAGTTATTACTCAATTTGCTATCAAGTGCTAAGATTGTTTGATGTCTTACCTTTTTAATATAAAAATGGTTTTATTATAATATTATGATCACCTTGAAACTAACATAAATAAGGGATTCAAAATTCCTTTGTGATAGACCAAGTCCTGACTTATAATACATTCGTATTGTTAAAAGTGAATGCAATCATAATATCATATACTCCGTATTAAAATTTGCAATATCATTTAGACTGTAGTAATAAATTGTTTCTTGAACTTCTCAAAAAAACCAATTTTAGAAGAGACGTTGTCTCAAATCGAAAATAGAGAGTTAATGAACCATCTTCATGTAAACTTTTCTTAGCTATTGAATTGGACACCAAAATTTTGTTGAGCAGTGAGATCCGCATATGGTGAGTGTGGAATTAACTCTTCACACGCGACTCTGTTCAGCATGCTAGATTAGGGTTTGGTCAACCTCGGGTGATGTAAAGTCAACATAAAGCTTACATTTTGAAAGGTTGCCACTTTTCATTCAACTTGTCTTTTTTATGGGAGTTTCCAAGCCACAAAATGTATAAATACTCATGGTGTCTGCACAAGAAGTAATAACAAAATCAGTTCGAAAACTCCCTTCAGCATGCCAGGTTAGGGTTTGATCAACCTCGGGTGATGTAAAGTCAACATAAAGCTTACATTTTGAAAGGTTGCCACTTTTCATTCAACTTGTCTTTTTTATGGGAGTTTCCAAGCCACAAAATGTATAAATACCCATGGTGTCTGCACAAGAAGTAATAACAAAATCAGTTCGAAAACTCCCTTCAGCATGCCAGGTTAGGGTTTGGTCAACCTCGGGTGATGTAAAGTCAACATAAAGCTTACATTTTGAAAGGTTGCCACTTTTCATTCAACTTGTCTTTTTTATGGGAGTTTCCAAGCCACAAAATGTATAAATACCCATGGTGTCTGCACAAGAAGTAATAACAAAATCAGTTCGAAAACTCCCTCTCTTCCATCGTTTACTAATAAAATCCTCGCATCTCTGAGTTCAACGAAGTTTGTTGCATTCTCTTGAGGAGTGAATCAATGTTCTCGCCTTGCTGCGAGTGGCAAACAACTAGGTAAATGAACCATCGTTGATGTGATCACTATTCAAGAGACCTGTCGTTCCAGTCGAAGGGTGGAATGATATCTTGCTCATTTTGTAGCTTCACTGGTTGCAAATAGCGAACTCACAAGTTCTCCAGCTTTTAGGTTCGCAAGTTGGGTTGCAACACCGTTGGTCGTTGAGTTAAGTCCGAAGTATACTTGGATCTCATAAGTGGCTCCGTGTGTATGTAAATTCTTGTTCAAGATTTTATTGTACATTTCACGAAATTAGGAGGAGAATTTAATGGCCCGCACAAACATAGTTAGATTTTGGAATGTCAGGAAAATATTCTAGGAGTGATATGAAAAGAAAAACATGTATAATATGATGAGTAAACTGTCAAAAATAATTAAAAGAAATAATTATAATGTTTGAGCTCAACCAATGTTCTAAAAGGGGCTAGATGCTAGTCAGGTGCTAGTCCAGCGCCTAGAGCCTAGGCGGGGAATAGTGGGAGACGTATAAATTGTATTTTTATCAATTGTTTTGCATAAATATGATAAGTAATACATAGTAAAACAGTAGTAGTATCGTGTTTGTGTGTATGAAAAAGGGAAAACTGTCAAATAGGTCCTCGAACTTTCATAAAAAAGTCAATTAAGTCCTTTTATAGGAGACTTTGTCCGGTCGTCGCGATTTGGGGCGGTTCCCGGTGGAATTTGTTGATGAAATTTTTTGAGCATCTTACTCATCAAGTCTAGTTTACTCATACCAAATTTCAGTTAAAAATTTAATCGGGAGCGCATTCAAATTAATTCGAGAACGCAAAAATGCGCAGTTATTTTCAAGAAATAATTTCAATGTGTTTCCGATTGAATTTTTAGTTAAAATTTGGTATGAGTAAACTAGACTTGGTGAATAAGATGCTCAAAAAAATTCATCAAAAAATTACACCGGGAACTGCCCCAAATCACGACGGCCGGACAGAACCTCCTATAGAAGGACTTAATTGAACTTTTTATGAAAGTTCGAGGACCTATTTGACAGTTATCCCTATGAAAAATCTACACACACATTACACATGCATGAATGATAGAACTATCACATGCACACTACTAGAAAAATGGCTTGCATCGACACTTTTATAGTGACACTTTCTGATAAAATGACATCATTGATATAAAAGTGACACTATTTTCTAACAAAAATACATGAGCATTGTGAAGTGACACTTTCAATTTTTACGGAGTATAGTAGTATTTGACCCGTGTGTTGCACGGGGAAAACATTTACCAACTAAGTATTTCTTTCATTAAACTTTCTTTTTAAGGAAATACCTTTTTATTATGATGTAAAGAATTTCTTTCATTAAACATGTACATATATATGAAGTATTAAGCTTGGGGTGGACCCGGGTTTGTCTGATCCCAATTCCGGGCCGACACCGTCCGGTCCTAGCAATATTTTGATGAGGTTAGGGCCCAATCCATTATTTTCTTGCTCTGGGCCGATTTAGGGTACCCGGGCGGTCCAAACCCGGACCCGTTACACTTTTTACACAATTGAAGCAAAAACAAAATGGCCGATCCAGGAGCATAACTGCTCGATTCGGTCTCAAATATTTGAAATTTGGACCGGATAACGCTTTTACCCGGTTTGGTACCCAATCTTGACCTGGACCCGGAAAATCAAACAGAGTCCAATCCCAAATGGTACCGGAGCCGGGTCTCGACCGGGCTGGATAGGGTCTACCATTCTATTAAGCATTAAAATCGTAGAATTTAACATGAAGGGGCATGACAAAATTATTACGGAGTAATTGTTATACTTGTTTGTAAACAATGTTCAAAGTAGTACTTTTGATTGATAATCATAACCCATTTCAATTCAAATGGACTTGGCACGCTTGATACCGCAAAAATACATGATTGCCCAAGAATAAAATAGAACATAGCAAGAAAATATCAACCCATTCCAACGATTTCCCCTAATTCTTATTGATTGTTGATATGCACTAGATAGTAGTGCATAAATGTGTGTTTTTATATTTTGTTTTGTGTGGATTGTTTACCATTTGTGTGTAGTTGTAAACATTTGTTTACTTTTTATTTGTAAGTGTTTTTAACCTTTATTTGTGAGTTAGGAAGTTTTGATAGAATTGTTGGCAAGGAAAAGGAAGAAAAACAAGGAGAATGCTGCCCAGGAGTATAAACCCGACCGGGTAGAAACCTTCACCCAATCGGGATTGAATTAACATTTGCAATCTCCAGAAAACTGCTTGGCCCGGTCGGGCCCTATACCTCACCCGGTCGGGTGAGACTTGACTGAAGACAACCCGACGTGCTGAATAACACTAGAACGTGGAAGATATTTGATTCGGACCGGTACCCGGTCGGATAGATACTCTACCCGGTCGGGTACCCGGCCAAAGGTGTTGAAAAACACCTATAAATAGCACACTTTTCCTTTACTAAAAAACATCCCTTCTTCCATACTTTTAAGCTCAACTTAGAATAGTATTTCTTTTGCATTTTTATAGCATGTTTAGCCTTCAAATGAGGAGCTAAACTTCCATAT